GATTATTAGGTGCACAAAAGTGAAAGTTTTCTTTTGGTCGCACTTAACAAAAAGACACTGAAGGTGCAGAAACTGACTTAATTCACTATTCTGCTAAGCTTCAAATTTAAACAAATATGGCTGCTATGGTAAAAACATCAGCCGCACTTAAACACCTTTTACATTGTTGATAATTCTACAACTATTGCATGCAGATTAACTAACGGCATAAAAACCTTAACCGGAGGATACGAACCACATAATTCAATCATTTTCAAAGAAAAAAATGCACAATTTGCAAACATATAAGAATAAAAAAAACTGAGTTCATTGAGCCGAGTAACAGAAGGGGTGTATATATATATATGTAATATATAGTTGGTGCGGCTGATTGCAACCAAAAAGGGAGGTGCACAACTAAATGCTATAGCATTCCTATGTACAAAATTTCAACGTTTTGAGGTTACCTGTTGAGTTATGCGAGATGCATACATATATACATACGTACAGACACCATGAAAAAAATCTCTTATGAATTCATTTTAATCCTTTTTGCAACCGTTTTAGGGAAAAGAGTCTTTTATTCTGTCTTTGCAAAGAGATGTCACGCAAAAACATCGTTAAAGTCAGGGTTAAAGTCCTGGTTAAAGTGCATTCGATAGCGGCCAAAATGGATATTTTCGTTAAAATATGACACTCGAAAATTTTCGCTACTATAATGCTTCCTTTACTTAGTACCAGGAAGTAAAAATGATAGAAATAACTTAATAAATCTTTTAAAATGAACAATGTTACCATCATTAGCAACTTTGTTTCGAGATCTGTGGACTTTTTAGCTCTAACGGCGTACCTAATCTTCAGAACTACTTAGATTGTCTTTGCTTGATTCCTTATACATTCACACTGTAAATGTATAGGATTCCACTAACAGCGTCAGAGGTAATAAAAATCTAAGCTAACAATTAATTGTATCTGAAATTCATTTTATACGATGCCAACCTATCTAGACTTACGCAACACAAAACTGTCAGTTACATGGAACCATTATTCAATTCTAAATTGCAGAATATTCCGTAAGCCTAATATTATACAAAATTTTACAGATTGCACTGCATCATTTATTTTCAACGTAGCACTTTAGAACCATACGTTTAATGAAGGTAGGATTAGTCGGATGATAGATTTAATCAGAAATTTTGAGAATTTCACACGGAGGGTACAAACCAACATTTCTCTTGGCGTAAGACTTATAAGAGATGCCAAATAAATGTAGATGAACGTAACGATTAATCTTTGTATGTTACATATATCCGACACTTTGAACAGATCTCTCCTACTTGTTAACTGAGAAATCGTGTAAAATTAAAATAGTGCGGCATTTTCCCATTAGCAAAACTGTCTCAGAAAACACATTTTTTACTCCCTTGTACGAAGTAAAAAGGAAGTAATGTAATCGCGAAAAGTTTCAGGCAGCATATTTCAACGAAAATATCCATTTTGACCGCTATCGAATGCAATTTAACGATGTTTTTGCGTGATATCTGTACGTAAGGAGAGAATAAAAGACTCTTTTACTCCAAAAAAATTATAAAACTGCTTTAAAATAAATTCTGAAGAGAATTTTTCCTGGCGTCTGTAACGTTCGTACGTATCTCGCATAACGTACATAGATACGTACGTACGTATCTCGCATAACTCAAAAACGAGTAGTCTCAGAACGTTGAAATTTTGTATATAGGACTGCTATAACATGTAGATGTGCACCTCGTATTTTGGTTGCAATCGGCCGCACCAAACGTATATAAATATATTTATATGTATATCCACTCTGTTACCCGGCTCAGTGATCTCAGTTTCTTTACTCTTATATGTTTGTAAATTGTACATTTTTTGCTTTAAAAATGATTGAATTATGTTGTTCTTATCTTCCGGTTAAGGTTTTTATGCCTTTAGTAAATCTGTAAGCAATATTTTTAGAATTATCAACAATTTTAAAGTTGTTTAAGTGCCTAATAATTTTTTTGATGGCGGCCATTGCTTGTTTACATTTGAAACAGCAGGATAGTGGATTTGTTGCCAATCTAGAGAAATTTAGCTTCGCCACAACAAAGATAACGCCTTCATTTATTATTGCGAATTAAATCCTGCTTAATCCTGTCTGGAATTTTTTCGAGGAAATAACTGTTTAAAATTTACTTCGTAATTTTTAATACAGATATTTTGACTTTTTATGTATTTTTCCCTTGTCCCGAAGTAAGAACTGAATTAATTAAATGAGAAATATTCAATCGTCTGTGAAAAACTGTGTCTTTTTCGTTTTGTTTGCTTAATTTCGTTTATACATCGTTCTAGCTTTATTATAGTATTTGAATAGAGCATGTGGCAACGATTAGATAATTCTTTAAATGGTATAAATTTTGTGCATTCTGAGTTATAATGTGAACGAAATATAAACCGTTAAGTGAACCTAGCGCCAGTGTATCGCTGTGGTAAACATATAGAGTGAATTTTAAAGAAGGCATTTATTCTGTTGTGGTTTATGCGCAGTCGGCGAAGTAGATTTAATTCAGTCTAATAAGTTTAAATGAAATGCAAGATAAAAATGCGTATAATTTAATATTCCGTACAAGGAGTCAAGGAGAATAGTTTTTACATCCTTGTACAAGGAGAATGTACAAGGAGTATTAGGAGAATGGTTTTTACTTCCTTGTACGAAGTTCGTTCGTTTGCCGACGACCAGGCTTCCGTCCTAAGGTGAAACCAATCGGAATTAATACCTGATCAGGGGAGGTAAAATCTACTTGTACAACCAGCAGCCACCATAACTAGGGGGACTGCCAGATCAGCGAGGCTTATTTTTATATCAGCCAAAGTAAATTGTTACAAAAATGAAAGAATATGTATTAATGACATCTTTGCACTTTGTGCGGCATATGTACAAATGATATATTACATAATCAAAATTTGTTACAACTGCTGCCTTCAACCATATTTATAGAAAAATAAATTTACAAGTCTGAAAGTTATCAGAAACCTCTTAAAATTATGATGTCTTGAATTCATATTTTGTTCCAAATCTTTTGTTCTTAGCTAGTTGGAAACGGCCACACAATTGAATCCCAGTCAAGGCAATTAGATCATAATTACATGAAAAATATGGTCACTATTTAAATTAATTTTTTTATAAATTCTGAAGTCTAAACACCAAAACAAGAATAAACAATTAACAAATGATCAAATTTCATTATTCATAGTTAATACGAAGAACAGAGTAAAATTTAATTCAAAGAACATTATCTATTTATAATGATTCTTATCTATCTAAATCAATTCTTATCTAGGCAATAATTTATCTGAATTATAGAATAAATGCTCTCCTAATTAACATAGTCCGGTTTGAAATACAATTATTCCCAAAAACTAAAAAAAAGAAAAACAAACAAATAATATAGCAATAACATTTAGTTTGCTATTTAAAGGAAGTACTGTAATCGCGAATTTTTTCGGGTGTTTTATTTTTACCAAAATATCCATTTTGACCACTATCGAATACAATTCAACGATGTGTTTGCGTGGCATCTGTACCTAAGGACAGAATAAAGGATCGTTTTCCTAGAATGGTTGGCAAAAAGGATTTAAAATGGATTCAGTACACATTTTTTCTCTGCTGCCTGCACGTAAGTATGTATCCCACATAACTCAACAGATAACCTCAGAGCGTTGAAATTTTGTATATAGGACTGCTGCAGTATGTAGTTGTGCACCCCTCTTTTTGGTCGTAATCGGCTGCACTAAAAGTATATAAATGTATGCATATATGTCCACTCTGTTACTCGGCTCCTTGAGCTCAGGTTTTTTTATTCTTATACGTTAACAAATTGTGCATTTTTTGCTTTCAAAATGATCGAATTATGCTATTCTTATCTTCCGGTTAAGGCCTTTAGTTAACCTGCATGCAATACTTGTAGAATTATCAGCAATTTGAAAGTTTTTTAGGTGCGGTTAAGCCTAATTTTTTTTTACCATAGCAGCCATATTTGTGTACATTTAAACTTAGTAGAATAATGAATTACAGCTTCTGCACCTTCAGTGACTTTTTTGCCGAGTGGGATCAAAAGTAAACTTTCAGTTTTGTGCACCGAGAAATCTGCCTTCTTGCCCACTGGCTGAATTGCTTGTTTTCCGTAGAATCTCTAATTTTAATTGTAAAAAGTGTTCTTTTAATTGTTTTAACTGCATTTGGTGTTTTATTTATTTTTCTATATTTTTCAATTTTTAATAAAGATATTTTGAAGTTTTACGTATTTTTGCCTTCCCGGGGGTTAAGAACTGACTAAACTGAATGAGAAATATATCTCTAATAATTTCGCGAATATAAGTTTAAATGAAATGCTGCCAAAAAATGAGTATAATTTAATATTCTGTACAAGGAAGTTATGTGGGGTACACATAAGATTTTTTTCTTAACGAAGGGGAAAACTTCCGAGTGAGTTCCCAAACCAAAAGAAAAAGTATACAAACGTTATCTTAGATATTTTCAATGCAGCCGACAACTGCGCAATTTCATTTTTTGGTCATTCCATTTCTAACGGATAAACTAATATTTCATTTAACAAATTCGAAATACGTAAGCAGTAAAACACTTCAATTAAAACACTTCTAATGACGAAATATGTGCATTTTGAGAACTGAAACACATGACGTGTAGTACACATATTTATGCGTTTATTTATAAAGACTGGTGAAACTAAATTTAATTTCTTGAACATTTGAGATTTAAAAATTATACAGATTAACATGTACAAAATATAGCAAAAATAAATACATTTTATATAATTAAATTAATTTTTTTATTCGCACGTAAAGATCGTACAAATTTATGGGTTACTAATAAAATGAGCTAAAGTATTTGCTGATAAACAATCGATCTGTCACAACATCGAAGTAGCGTTGTTAATGCGCAAAGTACCGATATTTTTCAGGTAAATAAATTATTTAACTTTTGTCTCTCTTTCTTAAAGGTATTTCCGGGGGAGGAGTTCTATCCAATTGCTTCGATGTCGCTTTCAGTGCCGATTCTTACATGCAGTGGTCTCACTAAAAGGTAACGTTACCGTTGAATTAGCTTTAAATTAATTATGCTGAATATGAGTATTGTTTATGTAGTATACAATGACTAGTTGAAACCTACAGTATAATGTAGTATAAATTAGTATAATCGGCATAGCTTCTCGAACTAGATCAAATTGTTAATATCAAAATGATTAAAGAAATTGTTATTTTTTATATATGGTATTGAGTCAGTCCATAAATTCGTGCGCATTTTTTGGTAAATTTTTAAATAATATAAAAAAACACAATTTAACATTTTAATCAGTTATATATTTTCCTCCATTATCTGCAATGTCTCGCCATTTTACAAGCAGCTTTTTTATGCCATTGCTGTAGAAAGACTCTGGTTTCGCCCCCCCCCCAAAGAACTTGAATTGAACTTGAAACTTGAAACTCTGGTCCTGCAAAAAAACTTGAATGTTCATTGTGTACATCCTGTTTAGAATTTAATTTTTTCCCGAGTAAAAAATTTTGTTAAGCATGAAATAAGTGAAAATCACTTGCTGCGCAATTTCTGGGGAGTAAGCAGGATGTGACAAAAGCTCAAAATTAAATTCACTTATTTTTTGCAGCGTTGGTCGAGCCGTATGCGGTTTAGCGTTATCACGATGAAACAACACTTTCTTGATATTCACCCATCGCGGGCGTTTTTTTTTTTTTTTTTTTTATCCATTCTGAGTTTAGACGGCAAAGTTGTTCACTATAAACTTCTGGATGAATCGCTTGATTTGGTTCTAACAGTTCAAAACGTCCTGAACGGGGTTCATCACTAATGCTGCTTTTTCTAACTTAAAATTTTTAAACCATTTCTGGGCTGTCCTTACACTAATAGTGTGTTCACCATGTACATATATATAATATTAATTTTTATCGCTGCAAACCTGGCAGATTCACCACACGAAAATAAAAAATGTAGCACAGCACGTGTGTGCTGATTATCTTTTACGGGTACTAAAATGCGTTCGATATTTACGAAAGTTGGTGATGAACTGAATAATATGTTAGTCAAACGATGACAAGTTTCAGCAGGTTCAAAACTGTATTACTTTAGTATATGTGTCATAGTGAATTCTAGGCATACTCTTAATGCGCACGAACTTATGGACTGACCCGATAAATATATAAGGGCGAGTCAAATGAAAGTGAGCCAATGCGAATATATGACAAACAGAGTACTTTATTTAAAGGTAGTCTCCATGTACATTGAGACATTTATCCCATTGACAAATCAGCCGCGTGATCCCCGTCTCATAAAACTCCTTGGGCTGTCGATTCAAAAAGTCTGTAACCGACTCCTTCACGGCGTCGTCCGACACAAATCTGGTACCCTTGAGATGTTTTATCTGGGCTGTATGGAGGATGTTGCAGCGTGTCCCACTTGAACTTTGCCAGTTGTGTCTTAACCACAGCGACGTGGGGACGAGCATTGTCGTGTAGCAAGATCACACCATTCGTCAATCTTCCAGGTCCTTTGTTCTTGATTGCGACACGCAGCCGATCCAGCGTTGCACAATATCGCGAACTATTGATAGTCTCTCCACGTTTAGCAAATTCAATCAGTAATGGCCCCTGACGATCGAAAAAAAAAAGTCAAAAGCACCTTACCCGAGGAAATGACAGCCTTTGCTTTCTTCGGGGGTGGTGAATTCAAATGGTGAATTCAAATGTAATCACTGTAAGCTTTGCCGGCGTGTTTCAGGTTCGTAGTGGTGGCACCATGATTCGTCTCCGGTCACAATTGCAGACAAGAAGTCGTCACCCTCATTGTGATACCGGATGAGATGAGTCAAAGCAGCGCCGAACCTCTCCGTCTTCTGGCGGTCGTTCAAAATCTTGGGCATCACTGAGCACACAAAAGCCGATAACCGAGATGATCATGAATTATGGTGTGAACCGAACCGTGACTGATGTTCACACGCTCTGCCAGTTCATCGATGCTTATCCTCCGTTCTTGTCTAATCAGGCTCATCAACCTGTGCAATTGTGTCGGGGGTGATTGCAAGGTGGCTTTGGCCCGGTCTTGGATCGTCTTTGCAACTTTAAACGTCCTTCTTTGAAACCGTTTGCTCCAACGCTTCACAGTGGCCAATGCCATGCAATGTTCACCGTACACAGCAGTCATACGGCGACTAATTTCATGTTGGGAAACACCTTCAGTTCAGCTGTCAAAAACCTGACCACACCACGACGCTGTTCCTCTTTGGAGCGTCTATTATGTCACGCTACCGTCTTCAACCCAGTGTAAGATCGCCTTAAAGAACTTTAACCTCACACTTTCGCGCCACTTTTGTAAATGAAGGCTGTCTCTGTGCTACGCGCATGTGCCGCAGATGATGGACCGAACCATTCTTGCTGAGGAGGGGTTGGCTCACTTTCATTTGACTCGCCCTTATATTTCTGATTAAGCACTTGAAAAGGGTTCTCCTGTTTAAAAATGTGGCTTTTATAACGCAAATCATTTTCCATTTCATTTTTAACTTTGAAACATTCTGTGCATTCAGTCTGTTTTTCAGTCAGAGTGAGTCAGTCTGTTTTCAGTCGAGAACAGAATTCTCGAAGCATTTCGATAGATAATTTCCAAGCTGCCTCCAGAAATGAGAACAATATGCAAGTCAGTGCATAAATTTCCAAAGGAAATATCATATGGCATAATTTCGTACGAATATTTTTAAAGGTGTGCTATGTGAATTAAATTGTAGCACCTTCCATGTAAAATAAACACTTCTTCTTATATATATATTACTGTGAAAGACCGAAATTGGAGAATGTCGACTTTCACCGGAAAATATCAACATTCACCAAATACGTCGGTGAAAGACCGAATATTTCACTACATTCTTGTATATTCGGACCCTTACCGGTGTATGTCGACAATCACAGATATGCTCTGGTGAAAGTCGAAAAGAGAGGTCATAAAGTGCCATAATAGTTAAGTTGTTGTTGCAATAAATAAGATTTGAATCACATAATTTAGTAAGTTTTTTATGACTGTTATTTTATTTTCTCATTTAGAACGTACTGTATAATTAAGTAAGTTTTTAACTTCTATTATTTTCCTTTCTCATTTTGAAGGTATTGTGTGTTTTAGGTTCTCATGTTCTTAAGTTCTTATTTCAAGTTTCGAGTGCGTTTATTCGCGACTGAATGACGGAGGAGAAAATATAATATTGTTATATGTTCCACATTCACCATTAGTACATGGTGAATGTCGACATTGACCGGTGTAAGTCAGAAATAAGAGTATTTGGAAAATATTTCGGACATACACCATGAGACTATGTGAATGTTGACATTCACCGGTGAAAGTCGACATTCTCCAGATTTCGGTTTTTCACCGTAACATATACAATACTAACTTTTCCGCGAACGTCCTTAAATAAGTTTCAACTCCTCGTGAATTTTAAAAATACACTCTTCATAAGATTTCAGTAAATACTCCTCCTTCTTCAATACCCATAGGCCGCGGATATTTTGTATTTACGCCTGACCAAAGGGTTATTTTTTGAAAAAAAAGTACATTCGAGCACCTTAAAATGATAAAACAATAATTTTATCGCACACAGTAAAATGTAAAAAATATAAAATGTAAATGAAATTTTTCAAGCAACAATAACAGAAATATATAAAACGAATGTATAGATTTTTAAAAAATACGAAACGAAACATTAAATGTATCACAAAAGTCGAAATATTGATAATAGTTTCAAGTAAGTTAATTAGAAATCAAGTTATTAATTTTTAAATTATTTTCCGCTGTGGATGATGTTTATTAATAATATAAATATTATTATTATTATTATTTTATTATTATTATTATTATTAAAGGGGAATTATAAAGGATATTTATTATTAAGGGGAAAATAAACTGATAACTTGAATCTTATCCAATCAAACATTGACCTTTTCGCAAACCCAACGATCGACCGGCATTGTTTCATCTGCAATTAAGCTCGAAATAGTTAAGCGACAAAAGCAGTTTTACCCCCAATGTTCCTATCACTCAGAGTGCAACACAAGTTTCTAAATTTCGAGAAATTTGGATAGTTAGATCAAAAGTTATAATTTTATCACCAGTCTATTGGACTCACACGGGAAAACCTAAGAAAAAATCCCTAATGTCGCTATTGTGTGTCATTCAGATTAGCGTTTTCAGAGTTTTTAAGTAATGTTTCAGCTGATTCGTACGAAGTCGTACGAAGATGTCGTACGAAGATGAGAATGGTATCGATGGATTCCGACGAATTTTTGAAATCGGAGATTATGTGTCTCGAAATTCCACTAACCTACGTTCCATAGATATTTGTGAAACATTAATTGGCACGTAGCCAAATTCCTTTAATAGGGAAAATCCCAACAAAGTAAGTGAAAATGTAGGGGAAACGTAGTTTTTAATTAATATCTCGGCTAATTAAAATCGCACGAAGACATTTTATAGCCTATAACCTTTTCTAATATATTAAAAATATTTCTCGAAAATTTCATGATAATCGGTTAAGTATTAAGGCATGAAAGCGTAACAAACAAACAAACTCACATTCGCATTTTTAATATTAGTAAGGATATTAGTAACAATATTAGTAACGATATAACAAAATACGATTATATTAGTAACGATATAACAAAATACGATGGCCGTGCTAAGATACGACTGGAGATCTCAAAATTAACTATTCTAAATTTGGTATTCTCTTCCCTAAGTTCATCTGTTCTCCCAAATTCGAGAGCTTTCCACGTTACATAACAACCTAAAATTAACCAATCACATCTTAGCTATACTTTATGCACCTACCTAATATAAACAGCTACTAACTGCGTAGTCTCTGTCTTTCGCCTTCTCGCCCGCGTGCTGCTGATCAATGCTAACGAATTTCGCTTACTGCACATGCTCAGTGGTGTGGCAGGAAATACTGGCGATTATGTATAAACAACACTACACAAGCCTGTTCATCATGTAGGTCTTATCGACTATTTACAATTACAATACTACCGAAATTTATTTGTGCTTAATGCATTTGCTTCTGTTTCATTTCATTTTGGTTTATTTTGTTTATAAACGTTATATTTAATATCAGTTATTTATCGTAATATCCTAGACTTTAATTCAGTAATTTAAACTGGATTTATTCTTATTATTTTCTTTAACTGGATATTATTATTAAAGTATATACGAATGGAACATATAGTTATTTACCATACTTTCATACGCAGTTGCTTTTATTCCTCACAAGTATCTATTCAATAAAGATTCAGCTAATATATCCTGTAATGTTTCCTGTTTTGTAATCATTCTTAAACGAAACTTTGAGTAGTTTACAATCGATAGTTACCCTCTAAGTAATAAAGCAACTTACAACCTAAAAGGTTTTAAAACCCCGAACTGTTTAAAACCCCGAACTGTTTCCGCCTAGATAACAGAATATCAACCACACACCGTATTTGTCTTCTTTTAAAAATGTACCAAAGTCGTAATTACGCCAAATTCCCTTCTGGGCATGCGCGGTATGCGAAATTTGTTTAACATTGATCAGTTAAATGTGCAGTTTGCCATTACGCACCCCGGAACGTGATGCAGGTCTCACTTCTGTGGCGTATGGAAGATCAACATCACGAATGGAAGATGCATGACGCGCGGTATCTGCATCACGTTCCGGGTAGTAATTTCGAGCACCTTCTTTGATGATGATCGTTGTCTCTTTATGTTATATTTCTTTGTTTGTGTTGTACGCCGAATAATAAACATGTTTTCTCACCTCACTCGTCTCCTTTCTTTCTTGACTTTTGTGTCGTCACTATCGCATCAGGAAAGCGTTTTCGATCATGCATCGCTTGGGATTTCCCGTCGTGTAGGTGTACTTTGTCTCTCCTGAAAGTTTGTCACCACTGTATTGTCACCGCTTACATATACAGAGGCTGTTCACACATTTTTTAGACCCTGTATATTGTATTCACAAAACTAAATTACATACAATTCTTGTGTTTTAAATGTTCTATTTGACATCCCTTATTCTGAACATCTTTCGACAGCGCAATTTACAGGATAATAATGCCTTTTGAAGTGGCAGAAGAGCTATTCTCTCACATTCCTCCCGAACAGCTTTCCAGAGTCCTGTTAAGGTTTTGGGACAACGTTTGGATAATGCAGTTTTTAAAAGTCCGAAAGCACAAAATTCCATAGGTGACACATAGGGAGATTGAGTAGGGATATCAGTGAAGGCTTTGACTTTGATACCAGTTTTTTGTTCCATTTCGTTTACGAAATTTACAGTGGATTTTGATGTGTGACTGCTAGCTTTGTCCTGATGGAGTCTCACAGATGGATGGCACTGTGGGTAAAGCGATGGTATTTCGTTCAGAAAAATTGGCGATAAAATATGTTCCTGAGAGTATTTGGAGTTAATCTTGACATTTGTTTGCACTCTCTTTATTTTTAACTTGCCATCATAAGAAAACCAGCAACAATCATGAATCCCTTAGAAAAACTTTCTTTCGATTCTTTGAACCATGTACTTAAATATTTTTCTCCCCTTTTATGAAAATAAATGCCTCTTTTTTTGTTACAATCATTTAAATACCCCCATGCTTCATCTATTGTGACAATTATTTTCTATTTTTCTTTGGATAAGTGTTTCTCATATAGAATTTGCAGCGTGTCCTGCGTCGAGCGATATGCTTTGGAAGAAGACGATGCACACTGCGTTTTTTCGTTTTCTTTAGATTTAAATCAACGTTTATCATTTTGTTTACAGTGGACACCGAGCATTTTAATGATTTTGCAACTGTCCTTTGAGTAGGGGGATTTTCTTTTAACATTAAACAACGTACCTTTTGCAATAGTCGAAGATGTTCGTTTCTTCCTTGGATACTTGTTTGGAATTTTTGTCCGACTTGAGGCTCCAATTTGACGTTTTTTTTCCTTTCTTGTTGATGATATTACCTATCGACGCTTTAGATATCACAAAACCATGACTCTCACATCGTTTTTGGATAACGGAGTATGCACATTTCTCTTCGGAAAGAGCGTAAATATAGCCTTCGAACCACTGCTTTGTTAAATTCAAATAAGAACAAAATAAATAAATTTTAAATAAAAATTTTAATAATCATTTTAAATAAAAACAAAACTTTCAAGCCACAGACGATAATTTTGACTTTTAAAAACATAGTACAATTGCAATTACTTCTTTTGCAGCAAACGATTTTTTATTACCGCTTACCAAAATCATCTAAAAAATGTGCGAACAGCCTCTGTACAGGGTGTACCTCGTATATGTTTACTAGAATTAAACGCAGTAATGAATTTGAGGTAAATTATTTGGAAATGTGCGAGTTTTCATCGTTAGTAACTTACCGAAACTGTGACAGCCATAGCAAAAAAAAAAAAAAAAAAAAAAAAAATATGCAAATAAATATCGCTGTTAAAGTATCGCAAAGATGAGAAAACATAACTTTCCTAATTTTTGTAATTACAAATTTTTTTTTTTTTTTTTTTCAGATTTCTAGTTCCAGGATGGAGAATGGGATGGATTTTAATCCACGACAGAAACGAAGTCTTCGGTTCTTCTGTAAGTGCTTTAAGCCTTTTAATAAAACAGTACTGCCCTGCTGTAAACAACATTACGTCGTACCTGATTTGTTAAGCAGTTAGAAACAGCAAAAATATTAACATCGCTTTTAAAACTTATAAAATTCATTGCAAATATTTACTCAATATGAAATCTGCTTGAAAAAGCGGAGGATTCTGAAAACGTTCCGACCTCAATATGTAGATGGCTTCTCAAATCAACCGAAGTGGAGGGGGAACTTGTTTGGGGATCACTTGATAACTACCAATGAAAATTTCAGCAATTTTGAACGAGAATGTTTTGTTTGACAATTACTCTTGCGAATTGATGTGACGGTTTTTGCACAAATGGAAAAAAAATCGAATATCGTGCTGTCATTAGATAGTCGGCCCACCAGCGGCCGAGCGGTAAAGTCGCTGAATATTGGTAATTCTGCCCGAGGTTCGAATCCCGCTAACGGGCTGGCTGCATGGGTGTTTTCGTGATTTTCCCCATGTGTAACGGGTATACAAGCTAGTTTCCCTTAGAAAGTCCTCCACGAAGGAATCCGTCCCCTTAGGCAGATAGCCCTAGTGTGCTTTGCCGTCATTAAGTAAACCAAACCAAACCATTAGATAGCTGTTTTGGAAAGGTAATGCGATCAGGTCAGATTAAAGAGCAGTTGGACACAGTGTACGGGAACTCTGCATTATCATTTGCTTCTGTGAAATTTTGCGCAGCTGGATTTAAACGTGGGCGTAACACTTTGGAGGGCGATGAACGTTCAGGACGGGACAAAACCTGCAACCACCGAAGAAAACATCGCTTAAATCCACAAAATGGTGCTGAAGACCATTGAATCAAGGTTAGAGAGCTATCAGAATGTTCAAAGAATGTTTTTGCCCCATTTGGTTTTTATTTAAAAATACACAGTTACCTCCTGCCCAACATATGTACAACACGGGTCTTAAGTTAACTAAAACATTAAAAGTTACATGCATGAATAAAACGAACAAAAGCAGAGACCAGTAGTCTGGACTGCACGAAAGCAGATAAGCTCACTGGCCAAGTCACTCCGAACATTTTTCCAATCATTCTGCAAGCATAATCTAGGGCCATCAAATGTAGAGTATGAGAAAATCAAATGTTCCACATCCTGAGGTACTCTTTTTGAACATTCACATAAATTGTTTAATCTTAGATTAACTAGCAATTTGGGCATACCCGGTCTTCGCTAGACTTAACAGCATTATCGGTCCACCTCTCCCTTTGCAGCACGTCACGGAGGTTCAACCTCCGCTAAGCTCCTTCTAAGCGAACCTCCAGGAGAGGGCGCGCCACCTAGCCACGCCAGGCGGCACTGGTCGTTTGATTTGCTACCTGCCAGTCGCTCGGGCGAGTTCGTCGCAGTGGGTCATTACCCAGCAAACCGGGGGCCACCCCCCGGCTACCAGAGCCGTATCGCCCAGGACATGCCAAACCCCGGGGACAGCCAATGAGTGACCTTTTCCAGCGCCTTCAGAACCACCAAGTTCATAAATTTTATACCCCCGTGGCCGAGACTGCCTAGGTACAGGTCCTAGCCAGTAGCTTCGCAGAGGTCTCTACGTCGACCCCCGGGGGTGATCTTAGATTAAAACGAAACAGGTATCTTGAAAATTTACCGTGACCAGATAAAAACTGAGAAACTTTAAAATTTATAGAGAGGAAAGACTTGCAATGCAGTATATGGTAAATAGAAGGAAAGAACTTTTTGATGACCTCAGCACTACAAGATGAAATATATTTCTTATTCCACTTAGCTAAAAGCTTCTTATAATGAAAAGACTTCCAATAGCTCTTTGGAATGCTAACGTTGATATCAATGGGTAAATTTAAGGCATCTTTAGCTAAGAAATAAGCTCTTTCATTTCCATAGAAACAGTGATGAGTACGCACATAAGCAAAGTGGATATCAGTTCCTCCATTTTTAAGCGAACTGACAGTTAATAGGGTTTCGATAACTTATTTGTAGCAGCTGGTAATACTGTTCAAAAGTTGAGGAGAAGAAAGAGAATCGGAACAAATAAGGTACCTTGAGAATGTTGTCCCACTATCCTTGATCCATTTGACAGCAAGATAAATATGCAGAAGTTCTGCTTGAAAAATTGCGCATTCATTCCGTATACGGTGTTTAAAATAACAAACCTCAGAATGGTCTTCAAAAAGAACGCCAACCTTGTTGTTCATCTTGCTGCCATCCGTAGAGAAAACCATATGAAAAGTCATTTCACTAGACTGTTTGCCACATTTGAACCAAGATTTAGATATGCACAAGTTGGCAGCACGTTGGGTGCCGCGTTTGCTCAACTTTGGACCAAAAACGTGTCCTGGTGAACATCTGCACCGTTCTGTTGGCGCAATACACAGGAGTGTTTTCAACTATTAATCTCTGTAGATGAAACCTGGATTCATCGTTACAGCCCAGAAACAAAAACACAGTCAAAACGGTGGACTGCAAAGGAAGAATCGGCTCCAAAAATGGCAAAAACTGTTCCTTCTGCCTTGGAAAGTGATGGCAACAATTTTCTGGGAGACCCATGGGATTGTCTCAATAGATTATCTTGAAAATAGAAAACTATTACCGGAGCATACTATGGAACGTTGGCCAAGAGTGCACATAATGAAGGATCTTGATTAAATGCATCAACTTGGACAATTGCCGCTGCTTATGCTATGAGGTTTTGCACATATAAAATAATAGACCGATACCGCACCATACATTTGTAAACACCCGTAAATATTCATTTGATGAAATGTTACGATGACATGAAGCATACTTATTTAACGTAATATATATATTAACATAAAATTATATTAACGTAAAACTACTTCTTGAAGAAGTATAAGGCTTAGAACGCAATTTATTAAGCCACATGCTAGAACCGAAGGTAATCAGTTTTAAGAAACTTGGTAAAAATCTACTCGTAGATTTACTTTTTCTCTTTATCTGAAACAAAGTATCTTTTGTTACAATTTGTTACTTTGTTGCGATTATTTTTCTTCCTAGATACGGAATGGATTACAGTCCTTATGCCAAAGAATCATGGGTAGTAACACAATCATACAAGGAGCTCTACCGAGTCTATTAAAGGACACTCCGCAGAAATTCTTTAGCGAAGTCATCACATCTGTAAAAGTAAGTATTGTCGTAAACAAAATATTAAAATATATATATAATATTTATTTTTTTATATTAAATAAAAAATCTGATGTGTACCCCCACATGACTTCCTTGCATGGAATATTAAATTATACGCATTTTTCTCGCATTTCCTTTAAACTTATTTCCTCGAATTTCGTTAGAGATATATTTCTCATTCAATTAATTCAATTCTCACTTCGCGACAAGGAAAAAAAAAAAAAAAAAAAAAAAAAAAAAAAAAAAACAGAATATTTTTATTAAAAACTGAAAGAAAGACAAATACAGTTAAAACAATTAAAAACACAATTTTTAACAATTAAAGTTACAGTTTCTAAACACAAAACCAATTCGGAAAACGAGCAAGAAGGCAGATTTTTCGGTGTTTCTTTTTGGTGCCATCCGGCAAAACACTGGATGTACAGGAAGACTAATTCACGATTCTGCTAAGTTTCAAATGTAAACAAATATGGCTGCTATAGTAAAAACAATTAGGCTTAGCCGCACTTAAACAACTTTTGAATTGCTGATAATTCTACAGCTAATGCATACAGATTAACTAAAGGCATAGAGAGCTTAATCGGAATATTAGAACAACACAATTCACTCATTTTGAAAGTACAATGCACGATTTACCAATATATTAAGAATAAAAAAACTGCGCTTACCTAGTCGAGTAACAGAGTGGATGTATATATATATATATAAATTTTTGATGCGGCCGAATGCAACCAAACAGGGAGGTGCACAGCTACATGTTATGGCAGTCCTGTATACAAAATTTCATCGTTCTGAGGCTACTCGTTTTTGAGTTATGCGAGATACATACATATGTACGTACGTACAGACGCCACTAAAAATCTCTTCTAAATCCATTTTAAATAAGTTTTATAATTCGTTTGGAGAAAAATAGTCCTTTATTTTTGCCCTCACGTGCAGATGTCACCCAGAAACATCGTTAAATTGCATTCGATAGGGGTCAAACTGGATACCTTCGGTGAAATATGGTCCCCGGAATTTTTTCGTGATTACAATACTTCCTTTAGTTCGTACGGGCCCACCAGCTGCCGAGCGGTAAAGTCGCTGTACACTGGTAGTTCGGTCCGAGGTTCGAATCCCGCGAACGGGCTGGCTGCATGAGTGTTTTCGTGGTTTTCCTCATCTGTAACGTGTATATGTAGACCGAAATTGGAGAATGTCGACTTTTACAAGAGAGAATGTCAACATTCACCAAATACGTCGGTGAAAGATCGAATATTTCTTTACATTCTTGTACATTCGGACCCTCACCGGTGTACGTAAGTCTGGTGGCGTTAATACGTAAGTACCAAAATTTCAGATTATTTCGTTTAACTTTACGATACCGTAGTTATCGTCGCACGAATCAGAATATAACATATTTATAAGTAACCTGAATTTGTAAAAACTGTAGTAATAATGTTTTCATAATTTACATTTTCCTTTCGTAACAAAAATAGGCCCACCAGCGGCCGAGCGGTAAAGTCACTAAACACTGGTAGTTCGATCCGAGGTTCGAATCCCGCGAACGGACTGGCTGCATGGGTGGTTTCGTGGTTTTCCCCATGTGTAATGTGTATACCAGCCAGTTTCCCTTATAAAGTCCTCCACGAAGGCATCCCTCCTCTTAGGCAGATAGCCCTCGAGGCTTTGCCGTAATTAAATAACCTAACTTAACTTAACCTAACCTTTACTTCATACAAGGAAGTAAAAAGCTTTAATCTAAAATAACATAGAAAGTGCTCATAAAATTAAGAGATTAAAAATTAAAACAGAAAAGTTTTGCTATCGTGAATGAAATTTCACACTCTTAGCTATAAAATTTATAATGAATAAGCAGAATAAAAAAAAAATTCGATTAATTAAAAAGATGATGTAACTTTATTATTTCTTTTGTCAGGAGTCCCCATTTTTTCATTTAATTTCATGTGAAATTCTGGAATTCATTATCGCTTTTGCTAAAAAAATTTTTTATTCTAAATTAAAGCTGATGCAGCTGATACCGATAACTGTTATTCTCTTTGTTTAAAATCAATCATATGCGTTCAGTTACGTATAGGCTAATTCTAGACCACAGAAATGAAACTTAGAATTCTGTCTGTCGATGTTTTTGTAGTTAAAGGTAAAAAACTAAAACATTGACGATGAAGAGTTTAGTGAAAATTCTGAAAGATAAATGTAGTATACGCAAAAGTTACTAAGTTCGTCTTAAAATATGCTATAGTTGCAGTAAATAACAAGAAATAGGGTCGAAAATTTCGTGAAGCAAAAGAACTGTTCAAAGCATTCATTCGTTATCATTATGCTTGTTAAAGTAATTTGTTTTGTATAAATAGGAAGAAATTTATTACTTAAACAAAATAAATTGTTTTTACACTCATAATGTAAACTCCATATTTTTTTAATTAAGAAAGACGTGTTAAATTGTTAAGCGTGTACTTGAATTCATTTTGTTTAAAAATTATGCGATTACTTGCAGTTAACACAATGAAATCTTGATTTGTTAATAACTTTTCATCGAATCAACCTGTAGAGACATTAGGTATTTTTTAGAATCAGAAGAGATGAAAAATCCCGGGGAATCAAACCGCGGACCTCTGGAATACCGGCCCAGCGTGCAGAACCACTACACCACAAAGGCACGCCAAGGAGGTGGGAGAAATACCTTATATACTCCCCCTTTTAAAGGGCGACTCGGGCTTTTAATGGACCCAATTGCCAAATCCTGGGTATGAAGTGTCATCATCCACAACCCTTTTTAGTTCGGGCGCCACTATAGGGTTCCTTACTTTTTAAAGGCTAAGTTGCTGTTGAAAGTGAAGAATCTTAAGAACTGCTAAGCAAGCGAATAATCGCTTAAGTTCGTGTGACAAGAAACAAGAAGATTCTAGCTTTATTATAGTATTTGAATAGAACATGTGGCAACGATTAGATAATTCTATTCTTTAAATGATATAAATTTTGTGCATTATGAGTTATAATATGAACGAAATATAATACTGTTAAGTGAATCTAGCGCCAGAGTGTCGCTATGGTAAACAAATACTAGAGTGAATTTTAAAGAATGCATTTATTCTATTGTGGTTTATGCGCTGTTGGCGAAGTAGATTTAATTCAATCCAATAAGTTTAAGTGAAATGGAAGAAAAAATGCGTATAATTTAATATTCCGTACAAGGAAGTCATGTGGTGTACACATCAGATTTTTTTATCTTGAATAGCGGATGAGCTGAAGAGGAGAACGTTTTATCAGATTAAAATTTAACAGATGCTTGACCTTTTTTTTTTTTTTTTTTTTTTTTTTTTTTTTTTTTTTTTTTTTCAGATTTGTAATATATTGTATATAATTAGATTTTAATCTTTTCTGTACTGTAATAAATGCTATGGTCTTTGTACAGACGAATGCTTCCATTGCGTACTCCGTATTATCGGAAATTCCAGGATTGATGCCTATTATGCCATCGGGAGCTATGTACATGATGGTAAGCCTCCGTTTTAGGATTTCAGTATGTTTTTCTTTAATGCTAATTTTATGCTTTTCTGTTGTTCCTGATTTTAAAATCTGTGTGTATTCTTTCCTACTATCGACTAGACTGTTTTTGTTGTTTACTTGAATTACAAAGGAAAGTTAAAGAATTAACTCAAATATTAAGTATTTTTTGTCAAACTGCGCTAATATGAAGTTCATTTTATAAAGGAATAGGAAACAAAAAAATTCTAAATTACTCTCTTAAATTATGGTTGGTGCTGCCATCTCGTGCAATTAAAAGGAAACAGTTATAAAAATGAACCTTATTCTCCTGAAGCTTGTTCTCACTAGAATCAATCTAAATTGTATAATAATTTAAGAATAATAATTCTAATTCTATATTGAATCACATCAATATAGAATAATTTTCTTTCCCAGCTGTTGGCACATGAAATGAAAAACTGCGGTTTAAAACTGAAATTGGAAAACTAACAAATGAGTGTTAATTAAACATGTGGTATTTGATTATGCAATTTTTTTATTTTGAAATGTTCGTCAAGTTAATATTTTCGCGAATAATTATTTGTATTTGCGCGAGAAAGTATTTGCATTTCAAGGTAAATGTTGAAACACGTTTCACAGTTTTATATGCGCTGATGCACTGATCAATTCATTAAAAAAAACAGTGTAATCTGTTCTGTGTGGGTAAACTGAAGATACTAATACTGATGACTTGGTAAATACTGCAGGTCCATAAATTATATCATATTAAAGGAATAGTGGTTTCATAATTCAGTTCTTTTTTAAATGAGAAATTTATAGTGTTTTAATATTTAATTTACTCTATTGGCGTATTCCAATTTTTCTCTGAATGTAAAACTTTTAGCAAAATGATAGACTGATATTCCAAGCCAATGTGCTGCCATCTAGTGACCACAATCTTCAGCAGAATGATAAAATTGGAATTATAACGTTTTCAAAAATTTAGTACAAATTAAAACATTTAAGCACGATTATATTCAAATGGGATTACCTCCTTGCTTCGCTTACAAGTACCACTATTCACGAGTAGTATTAGATATAAGTAATTTCTTCAAAAATTATTTCAAAGTTCACTGTTTTGCATACAGTGTGCTAAATTCATTTGCTTTTCTCGTGGAATAGCCATTTTACGCGTAAATAAAAAAACTACAAACAAAATGGTTATTTTAAATATTTGGAGATGATTGATTTTTCAACTCTCCAATTCATTTTTGTTTTTCTGAAACGCGTTTTGAATAAGCGATGAAGGTTCAAGACGAATTTTACTGCATTTGTTCGCAGTATGAAAATATTTACCAGAAAAACTATGCTAACTCTTTTTTACCAGCGCATTCTGTTCACTGATTTATTCCCACCTCTTCGACTTAATGCCTCATGCGCTACAAATAAAATTTCCTCTGCAATGCTTAGTATAAGACCAGAAGAAACATCCTTTGTTCAAAGGCAAAGAGACATTTTTATATTTTTTGTGCATTCTAAGATTACCTACTCAAATCAAATTCTGGAATGGTATGTATAATTATGTCACCGTCTCTACGTTAAAATACAACTGCAACCATGTTCTAAATAGGTGCCCCACAAAAATATAAAAACAGTGTTTTAATATTTGTACGAAACTGAATAAAAAAGTATTGAAGAATTTACCTTTAATTTAAGATATGGATGGCTACACACACACACACACACAAAGAAAAGAAAAAAAAAAAAAAAAAAAAAAAAAAAGAAAGAAAGAGAGAGGGATTCAATAATTTTTTAGAGAATATCCCATGTCTTTCAAAAGGCGTGAAGAACGTAAAACCATCATTCGCAGAACGGAACTTGGATAAACAAACGAGAATAAAAATTTTTCGGTTCCTTAATGAATAATCAACTGTGCAACCCAAACTCATAAGATTCACTACTTTCTCTTTTCCCGTGTAGAGACATTAGGTAGTTTTGGAGCAAGAAAGATGAAAAATTAGCAACTGCCTTCGCCGGGAATCGAACCACGGACCTCTGAAATACCGGCTCAGTGTGCTTACCACTACACCACGTTAGGAAAAGATAATACATTATATACTCCCCCTTTTAAAGGGCGACTGGGGTTCTTTTAGGGGACCCAATCGACCCTTTTAGTTCGGGCGCCACTGTAGAAACAATAGGTTAATTGGAAAAGCCGAAGAGATGAAAAATTAGCACACGCCTTCGCCGGGAATCGAACCACGAGCCTCTAGAATACAGGCACAGCGTGCAGAACCACTACACCACGTAGGCACGCTAGGAAGGCAGGAGAAATACCTTACACTTTGTAGTATCGTGTGGCCCCAACTTGTCAGCAGTTGTGGTAGTGACTGCTACGAAGTTGGAATTTACACAAACACGTAAGAATTATTTAAAGCCCTTTTTATTCAACTTTTAAAATAACAGCTGCATCCACTTGACGCTCACAAACTACGCCGACCCGGCGGTTTAACTGAAATAGAACGTAAAACTGAACAATAATGACTGGATGAATAAAATAGCGAGATCATTATCCACGAGGCTCTGAGATCTTAAACTAACCTAACCGCGTTCTAAAATACCGCTGAGATTCAGCGAGCTTACTGAATTAAGCAGTTGAAAGACCTAGCAAAATCTACCGAGATAGGCACACAGGCCGACAACGCGCTGCTTCTTAAAATTTCTACCTAAGCAACCTATTCACGTTCGCGAATTCAAGAAGCACACCTACAATCTCGTTTCCTTCCTAATTTAAACTCAGCTTACTTCTGCTAAGTTTGAATATACTGCGCGCTCTACTACAATTTACATGCTCTAGCATTGGAAATTCTAGGGGAAAGTAAAGGCTTGACAGAAAAGATAGCTTAAAATAAATGTTAGTTAAAATAAATATAAACTCTACAACTTGAATAATGAAAATTTTAGGGTTTTCTTATACTATCATCTTTTAAGAAAGTCTGACAACTCACTCAAAGAATTTGAATGTAATCAAAGAACCTACTTATGTAATTTGCTTAGTATGTCCTCGTCCTCCTAGATGTTTCGTGTAGTCCTTGTTTAAAACATAAAATTGCGGTTGAACTTAAAAAAAGCGATGCATATGCGTTTTACTTTACACATGGAACTCCGAAACATGGATTTAACCTTACATCCTAAACGTGAATGAGTTTAAGGGTTAGTAAGTGTTTCGTTAAAACTTGCAGAAATTCTGTAAAAAATATGAAAAATAGAAAAAAGATTTCAGTCGAAGATCTGTGTCATTATATCCAATTTCCACGATATTCCAATTTGTTGACCCCGATAACGCTGTTAAAATTTATAGAAACTATCGGTTGAATTTGTTATAAATGAAATACGTATTCAATTAATTATGTTAATTTCAGATATCGTTAAAAAGCAAATGAAAAAGAAAGTTATTAAAACTTACGTTATGTTTAGTTTGAAAAGCAATTCCAGTCATGGTAACATGTACCAAAATATCTGGAATGCATAATAAGGAAACGTGATGCGAATCAAAACTTTGAAAGAATCTGCTAAAGAAACTTTTAACATCTTAACTTTAACGTTTGTATCATTTACTTAAGCGTAACCGAAAAAAGAAAATCTCAAAGCTTTCAGATCTTACATTACACCCAAAGGGGCCTTTTTTTAACGTTTTGTGTGTTACCTTTATTTATTAAATATCATGTTCATCGCACTTAAAGCATAAAATTCAGTTCAACAGCAATATCGCAAAATAATTTTAAAATGAACCTATCTTTAAAATTTCCAATACACAGTCTCGCGCACTGGAGATGAAAATGTGTTGGGTAGAGGCAAGCGAACGTTTTTTCTTATACGCATGCGTATTAATTATGATGGCGCAGCTGTCTCTTCTACCGACACATCCGTCATTCGAGCTTCGAGCGTATGGAGATGGTGAGATGTTACTTGCTGTGTGATGGTCAATACGATTTATTCATTATACGTGTAAATAAAGTGTGTTGTCCTAAATCGATGCCTTCTTTACTCTAAATATTGGCCTCTGAACAACAAATGGTAGCAGCTCCGTGGTTTTGTCAAGAAGAATTGGATATAAAATACCAACTCGAAACCGAAAGTGTCTTAGTGGAAGCTAAGAATGGAGAAGTGGAACGTTCCCGAATTAACTGGAGAGAACTATTTTATTTGGTCATTGAAAATTAAAGCTGCCTTATCACTGAAAAGACTTGACTCGGTAATTTCAACAGTAAAACCAGAAAATTTAGACGAGAAGATGAAAGATTGTGGAATGAGAAAAACGCTGACGCCGTAGCATATATAAAACTTTCACTATCGGATCAACAGGCGCTTCAGTTCTCCACAGAAGAGAATGCAAAAATTCTTTGGAAAAAATAAAGTCAACATTTACGGGACAAGCCGAAGATCGAAAAAATAGATGCTGGATAATGAGTTAAAAAATTTAGAAATGAAGTTGCATGAGTCGTCTAATGATTATATTGCAAGAGCGAGAGGAATAGCAACTAAGTGCCAATCGCTAGGACTAGATGTATCTCCTCGGGAACTGGTGTTTTACACAGTCCGTGGACTTCGGGGAAAATTTTCTCGAATTAGGGAAATTGTTAAACCTCAGCGTGAAAAAACAGTTGATGAAGTACTCGAAATACTTCGTGAGGAAGAGTCCGTTCACAATTCAACGAATGGGAAACGACCTGATGGAAACAACGCAGAAGCCATCGATTTAGGACAACAAAATGCTTTTTTATTTCCGTACAGTGTTGCCATTGCTCGCTTCGAAATCGTTGAGTTTGTTAATCAGAACTTCATTGAAGTTTTGCAAAATATGAAATATATAGCAAAACAAATTCCAAATTTGTGGTTCCAGATGCCCATATTCGTGTGGAAACGTACGTTATTCAAAATTGGATGGCTCTAGGTACCGTCGTTTTGTCACCATACGAGAAACATGCACACATTTATGCAGATTCTTCATTATTTAATTTCCTTAAACACAATAGAGGGCGATAATATTTGGTGACAACAATTTGAAAGTGACACAACGCTTGTAGTGAATCAACGCAAAATGTCAAAACAGAATTAATAGTCCTTCTCTGCAAATTGGCCCTTTGGACTAAAAAAAAAAAAAAGTAAATGAAGAAGAATATACGATACTTTGAAATTTCAGGAAGTAGGCTTCTCTACTCTATCGCAGATAGTACTTACATATGACAAATTGTATAAAAAGTACCTACATATGATAAGTACTTACAATGAACTGAAAGAATTTAACATATTCAGGCGTGGTATGGTAAGAGTCCTTGCAGCCCCTGATTTTGGCCGCCGGCATACTTTTACGCACTGCACCCCTTCTAGAAACTGACCTGCATAAAGAACTAATGAAATTAAGGGGTGTTGGAATTCCAAAATCTTCAAAAAATTGTGATTTCGGATTTTTGCATTTTCAAATTCTCTATACTTTTATCTTTCTAAAAATACCCTTCTTTAATCTCTATGAAAATTAGAACTGTAAAAAAATCTAGTTTTAATTTGTCTTCTACTGCTTTGATCAATGAGGATTTTTACATAAAAACGCGTTTTTCTCCAAACGTGATCTTCTTATACTCGATGTACCTTTTCTCAGGAACTACTGCTCACAGGTATCTAAACTTTTTATGGTTATTTATTAGGTTTCCTAATATTTACTGAAATGAGCTTTTTGTAAACTTAGAAAAAAAAATTTTTAATTTTTTTGTGTGAGAAAGCTAAATTATACTATTCCTAACAAAATATTGTATAATTTACTCTAAAATTCAAAATGTTTCAAAAGCTCATTTCAGTATAATCAGATAGGTATACTTTAATTACAGAAAAATTTCAATCTTGTATCTACAGCGTATTTTGAGAAAAGGTACATCGAAAATGGCCAATTTAACATTGTCGGTATAGGGGTTTCTGATACTCCTTAAATCGTTCACGCATTTTGCTTATCTGATGAAAAACCCAGAAAAACATAAAACTCTATTTTTGAACAGAAACTGAGTTATAATATTTATTTCAAGTGCACTTCTCGAGTTTAGACTCACGTGGCAAAGTCTGTGACCTTGTCGTTAGAAGAGAAAAATACTAAAAAAGACATTCGCAGAATGGCAGCTGCGCAAAGAACTAATATAATCCGAGAGTTTGTTGATCCAGGTAATGAAACTAAGACACGGATAGCGCTGTTGTTTGCGAATCCTCAGATTGCCAACTGCGCGTTTGCGGCTCGGGAAAAAAACCTCTCAAATCTGCTCAGAAAAAAGCAGAAATAGAATAGCCGAAGAGAAGGATTGCAGATTAGTGAATGTTATCTGTTTTGTATCGAGATGTTATAATTTTTTTAAAAGAATGATATGCTAAACAAACATGCTGTGTTTCTAGAAGAAAACCTGGCGGTAAAAGTGATCTAAAATAAATATTTTGAATCTGATACCTAATTTAATTTTCTTCTATTAAGAGCCAAAGTCTAACAAGAGCCAAAGTCTTTAGAATTTCTAACAAGAGCCAAAGTCTTTAGAATTTCCAGTACATAGTCTCGCGCGCTGGAGATAATTTTTTTTTTTTTTTTAATCCGTAGTGTTGCCATTGCTCGCTTTGAAATCGTTGAGTCTCTTAATCAAAAACTCATGAATGCCTTACAAAATATAAAATCTATAATAAAACAAATTCCAAATTTGGGTTTCCACATGCTTCCCATATTCGGGAAGATGCTTAATTATTCCAAATTCGATGGCTCCATTCTTTTATTGGCCCACCAGCGGCCGAGCGGTAAAGTCGCTGAACACTGGTAGTTCGGTCCGAGGTTCGAATCTTGCGAACGGGCTGGCTGCATGGGCGTTTTTGTGGTTTTCCCCATGCATAACTTGTATACGAGCCAGTTTCCTTAGAAAATCCTCCACGAAGGCATCCCTCCCCTTAGGCAGATAGCCCTCGTGTACTTTGCCATAATTAAATACACCACCACACCATTCTTTTATCACATTGCGAGAAACATACGTACATTCTTGCAGATTCTTCATTATTTAATTTCTTTCAATATAACACAGGGCGATAATGTATGGTGGCAACAGTTTGAAAAGTGAAACAAAGCTTGTCGTGAACCAATGCAAAATGGCAAACAAAATTAATAGCCCTTCTGGGCTAATACTAAGGTTTTTTCCAAATATATGTTACGCATTCCAGGTCGCCGTGAGTCAGTTCTTTGGCCATTTTTTTTTCTACAGTACATCAAAAACCTAAATTCTTTCTGACCAGTAGTTATATCCACGTTAAATTTAGGTATTAGTAAACAGTGGCCGTAATATTCAGGTAATGAATTATACCCTAATACTTTAAAAGATGCGTATGCATTAAATAATGCTGTAGTTTTATTATTGCTCCATCTCGGCATCTTCGATATGACGGAAAACATGGACACGACGTCTCATAGAACACAGTTCGGAGTTACTGCCCGGATAGATTTTCAGCTGATTCGAAGCAGAAACGGAATCGCTGACTCATCACCCCTACTTTCTATTCCGGGGAAGCGAAATAAGCGTTTACATTAGCAAGTCACTCGGAGAAATATAAACTGGCCTTTACCCAAGTCCCGGATACACGAGCCATCTTGCTATTTCCATCAATCTTCCCCGTCCAATGTAATCATAAGAATTTCCTTCGTTGCTTGACTCTTCTCATTAAACAGAACTCATTTTTAATGGATACAAATCACTTGTAGGCCGAATACGATGGTGTCTATGATCGTGAAAGACAAAAACGCTATTAAATCGACTATCATTGTGAAGGGGGGTGAAACTATAGCAAACAAAGATCAGAGTCGTTAGAGCATGTTGAAAAATTGCTTTTGATCTGGATAGAAGAGAAACATTTTTATGCAGTATGCATTTTCGTATTAACAGTGTTTCAATAATAACAATAAGACTTTTTCTAAGAACGGATTAACTGTTTTGCCTTCATTTCTCATTGGAAGAATTTGCTTGGTAAACGTCCGAAGTCTAGGAATGGATTAATGCGTATACCGATATGCTTTTCATAAGCTGATCTTGTTTTCCAAATGGCCAAAGAACTGGCTCACGGCGGCCTGGAATGCATAACATATACATAGAAAAATCCTGTATATTAGCCCAGAAGGGCTATTAATTTTGTTTGCCATTTTGCATTGGTTCACGACAAGCTTTGTATCACTTTTCAAACTGTTGCCACCAAACATTATCGCCCTGCGTTATATTTAAAGAAATTAAATAATGAAGAATCTGCAAGAATGTATGTATGTTTCTCGCATTGTGATAAAAGAATGGGGCCATCAAATTTGGAATAGTGTAAGTTTCCTCCCGAATATGGGAAGCATGTGGAAACCCAAATTTGGAATTTGTTTTATTATAGATTTCATATTTTGTAAGGCATTCATGAGTTTTTGATTAAGAGACTCAACGATTTCAATGCGAGCAATGGCAACACTACGGATAAAAAAAAACTTTTTTATCTCCAGCGCGCGAGACTGTGTATTGGAAATTCTAAAGATTTTGGCTCTTTTTAAATTACTTGAATATGATATTTAATAAATAAAGGTAACACACAGAACTTTAAAAAAATGTCCTTTTGGGCGTAATACAAAATCTGAAACGTTCAGATTTTTTTAAAAAACTTTTTGTGTGTTTTTTTATGTATTTTTATTTGTTTAATTTACTTATTTATTCATTTATTTTTTATTTGTTTAATTTTTCATTTTTAATTAATTAATTAATTTTTATTTGTTTAATTTTTAATTAATTAATTAATTAATTAATTTTAATTCCAGGAAAATGATGATTTTTTTACTTTTACTTCCCGATTCATTATTTGTCCTGTTTAAATTTAGCTTCCATAAGCTTTATGATTCGAGCACTGAGTTTCCCTCAGTACTTTTTTAGCAAGATCATAAAAGATTCCTTAAATAAGGTAATTTCTTCTCACGGTACAATTTAGAAGCTCTTAGCCTGATGGCTCTTAGCCATCTTCTACTTTTTATACCTAGATTTTTGTAATTAAAAATTTTGCATACGTGCAGTGTCGCTTACATATGAGACGTTACAGTACGTATGTTTGGAACAAGCACAGGATGATCTGCACGTGGCGACTATGAAATTTATGTGTTAGTATTTGGAACCTCTTGCGTGAATACTAATTTATGTTTTTTCTCTCTCTCCGATAGGTCGGGATTGATATTCCACAGTTCCGCGGATTCCGGCACGACATGGATTTCGTGGAGAAGCTTGTCGCTGAGCAATCCGTCATGTGTTTACCGGGAATGGTAAGAATCTTTGGAATACGTAATTTAAATAACAACGGATGTCACTGACTCCCCAAAAATAGACTGGCACGCCCTAAAAAAATAAGATTATTTATTCATATATCCACAATATTGCCTATGATAAATGGTTGAAGCAATTTAAAAGGAAAATTACGTTAGAAAAGCTAATTAAAAATTTAAGAACAAAATTTTAAATGGTTAATACCGTTTTTTTTTGTTGTTTTAGCAAATATAAACGCAGCCATATAACAGTGTTTATCTAATTGCAGTGATTTTCGCATAATTGCATTGGGCTCAAAAAGTGTTTACGTTGTCTCGATATCAACAATTTAAAAGTTGTTTAAGTGCGACTAAGCCTAATTTTTGTTTATTATAGAAGCCATACTTGTTTACATTTGAAACTTAGCAGAATAGTGAATTCAGTCCGTTTCTGCACCTCCAGAATCTTTTTGCCGAGTGAGACAAAACGAAACTTTCAGTTTTGTGCACCGAAAAATATGACCTGCTTGCCCCCTGGAAGAATTGTTGCTTTTTTGCATTGAAATAACTGTAATTGTCGTTTTTTTTAATTGTTTTAACTGTATTTGGTGTTTTGTATTTTTTTTCTATATTTTTCAATTTTCAATGGAAGATATTTTGAGGTTTTATGTACTTTTGTCTTGCCGCGAAGTGAGAACTGGAATTCAACTTGAACAATGAGAAATATATCTCGAATGAAAATTCGAGGAAATAAGTTTAAAATGAAATGCAAGAAAAATGCTTCTAATTTAATATTCCATATAAGTCGTGTGGCGTACACATCAGATTTTTTAATGATGTATTAACACGAACTATATAACACGAAAGTCACTTAACTATCAACTAAGAATTATGAAAATTTGTAGCATTACTGTAATGTACCGGCGAAGCAAAACATATTTATCTTCCAAATTTACTCATAAAAATCAGTGGTTTAAAGGAAAGGTGTTGCCATTGACCAAAATAAAATATTTTTATCTCCCACTCTTTAGCATTTCGCGGTTCGGCAAAGCGTAAGGTATTTAATTTTTCTTTCAGATTTAATCTGTTTGTGATTCATTAAAAAAGCTGAGCAAATTAAAAGCAATGAACTAATTCTTCCTTTCTGTTTTTAAGAATTGCAAGCTGGATACGTTCAATTATATTAATAGCCGGACGCATAATAGTAACTAGTCAAGGCGTGCAAGTCGGCTAATTAAATAACAGAGTAAAATATTTTGAAGAATAAGGTTGTAGAGTCATTAGGATTTTTTTTAGAGGCAGAAAAGATGAAAAAATAGCAAACGCCTTCGCCGGCAATCGAACCACGGACCTCTGGAATACCGGCCCAGCGTGCTACCGTTACACCACGATGTCACGCTAGGGAAGTAAGAGAAATACCTTATACACTCCCCTTTTTAAAGGGCGACTAGGGTTTTAGGGGACCTAGTCGCCAAATCCTGAGTGCGGAGAATCATCATCCATAACCCTTTTTAGTTCGAGCGCCACTTGTAGAGTCATTAGGATTTTTTTCAGAGGCAGAAAAGATGAAAAATAGCAAACGCCTTCGCCGGGAATCGAACCACTGACCTCTGGAATACCGGCCCAGCGTGCTACCGTTACACCACAAAGGCACGCTAGGGAAGTGGGAGAAATACCTTAAAGGTAAATGCAATTTGGCAACAAACCTTTTAACCAGGTAGAAGCATTCGTGCCTTTAAAAAAAAGAGTTAAAAAAAAAGAACAAAAAGTGATAATATAAACACTATTATGTTGCACGTACCATCGTTATTATACACTATTATGTTGCATGTTTTGCTTCGCCGGTACATTACAGTAATGCTACAAATTTTCATAATTCTTAGTTGATAGTTAAGTGACTTTCGTGTTATATAGTTCGTGTTAATACATCATTAAAAAATCTGATGTGTACGCCACACGACTTATATGGAATATTAAATTAGAAGCATTTTTCTTGCATTTCATTTAAACTTATTTCCTCGAATTTCATTTAGAGATTCCTTGTTCAGTTAATTCAGTTCTCACTTCGCGACAAGGCAAAAATACATAAAAATGCAAATTATCTCCATTAAAAATTGAAAGATATAGAAAAACATAAAACACCAAATACGGTTAAAACAATTTTAAAAACGATTTTTTAAATTATTTCAACGCAAAAGCAAGCAATTCGTCCATCGGGAAAGAAGTCATATTTTTCGGTGCTAAAGGTTTCGTTTTGGTCCCGCTCGGCAAAAAGACACTAGAGACGCAGAAAGACTAAATTCACTATTCTGCTAAGTTTCAAATGTAAACAAGTATGGCTTCTATAATAAACAAAAATTAGGCTTAGTCGCACTTAAACAACTTTTAAATTGTTGATAATTCTACAGCTAATGCATACAGATTAACTAAAAGCATAGAGGCTTAACCGGAGTATTAAACAACATAATTCACTCATTTTGAAAGCAAAAAAAATATGCGCAATTTACGCATATATTAAGAATAAAAAATCTGATGTGTACACCACATGACTTCCTTGTACGGAAAATTAAATTATACGCATTTTTTCTTGCATTTTAATTAAACTTATTAGATTGAATTAAACATACTTCGCCGACAGCGCATAAACCACAATAGAATAAATGCATTCATTAAAATTCACTTTGTTTACCATAGCGACACTCTGGCGCTAGGTTTACTTAACAGTATTATATTTCATTCATATTATAACTCAGAATGCACAAAAAGTATATAATTTAAAGAACTATGTAATCGTTGCCACATGTTCTATTCAAATACTATAATAAATCTAGAACTATGTATTAAAGAAATTAAGAAAACAAAACAAAAAAGAAACAGTTTTTCACAGACGATTGAGTATTTCTCATTTAATTAATTCAGTTTTCACTTCGCGAGAAGGCAAAAATACATAAAAACTCGAAATATCTATATTAAAAATTACGAAGTAAATCTCAAACACTTATTTCCTCGAAAAAATTCCAGAATGAATTAAGCATGATTTAACTGGCAATAATAAATGAACGCGTTATCTTTGTTGTTGCGAAGCTAAGTTTCTCTAGATTGGCAACAAATCCACTAGTCTCCTGTTTCAAATGTAAACATCAATGACCGCCATTAAAAACAGGCTTAGCGGCAATTAAACAACTTTAAAATTGCTGATAATTCTAAAAATATTGCACACAAATTTACTAAAGGCATAAAATCCTTAACCGGAAGATAAAAAGAACATAATTCAATCATTTTTAAAGCAAAAAATGTACAATTTACAAACATATAAGAGTAAAGAAACTGAGATCACTGAGCCGGGTAATAGAGTGGATATATATATAAATATATTTATATACGTTTGGTGCGGCCGATTGCAACCAAAATGCGAGGTGCACATGCACATGTTATAGCAGTCCTATATGCAAAATTTCAACGTTCTGAGCTACTCTTTTTGAGTTATGCGAGACACGTACGTACGCACGAACGTACGTACATACGTTCGTACAGACGCCACGAAAAATTCTCTTAAGAATTAATTTTAAAGCAGTTTTATAATTTTTTTGAAGGAAAAGAGTATTTTTGTCTGTCCTTACGTACAGATATCACGCAAAAACTCGTTAAATTGCATTTGATAGCGGTTAAAATGGATATTTTCGTTGAAATATGCTACCTGAAACTTTTCGCGATTACAATACTTCCTTTTTACTTCGTACAAGGAAGTAAAAAACTGAGCTTACCGATCCGAGTAACAGAGTGAGTGTATATATTTATATAGTACTTTTGATGCAGCCGATTGCAACCAAACAGGGAGGTGCACAGCTACATGTTATGGCAGTCCTGCATACAAAATTTCATCGTTCTGAGGCTACTCGTTTTTCAGTTATGCGAGATGCATACATATGTACGTACGTACAGACGCCGCTAAAAAAATCTCTTCTAAATCCATTTAAAATAAGTTTTATAATTCGTTCGGAGAAAAATAGTCCATTATTCTGTCCTCACGTACAGATGTCACCCAAAAAGATCGTTAAATTGCATTCGATAGGGGTCAAAGTGTATACTTTCGGTGAAATATGGTACCCGGAATTTTTCGTGATTACAATACTTCCTTTACTTCATACAAGGAACTAAAAAGCTTTAATCTAAAATAACATAGAAAGTGCTCATAAGATTGAGAGATTAAAAATTAAAACGGAAATTTTTGCTATCGTGAATGAAATTTCACAGTTTTAGTTATAAAATTTATAATGAATAAAAACAGTAATGAAAAAAATTCGATTAATTAAAAAAGTGATGTAACTTTATTATCTCTTTTCTGAGAAGTCTGCTTTTTTTTTTCCGGAAAAATTTATATTGAGATTTAATAATGTGAGGCAAAATGAAGAATATGTACTCGAAAATTCTTTCATCCGCTTTTAAAGCGGTCGTTGAAAGAATTCTTAATAAAGGAATATATTCCACTGTCTTTCAATACAGAATTTTTATTTATAGTAAATAAAATATTCATGTTGTAGATATCTAGCTTCGATTAAGTCGTTATACGTATTTCCTGCACATCAGTTATAAACAATGGCATGATCGATGTGGAATTATGATCGATTACCAAATAACCAATTAAGCAAATATATCTCCATCAATAAACGTAACTCTCGATGCGATGGGAATAAATAAATAAATTTTATTTCCCTTATCTATAGATTCTGCCTTTTTCATACTGATTGTGGCTGGATTCAAGAAATATAAGAGCTTTCTTATCATTAATTCTCGAAAACCTTTAACTAAAGTTTTAATACAGTAATTATCGTCTCATTTTCAGTTTGGTATTTTAAACAACTGCTGTAAAGAAAATTTTAAGAAATTATCTCATTATGCCGGATATGCTCTCGTGGTTAGTAGTAGCAACTGCAAGACCCGTGGGTCGAATCCGGAAGAAGGTATGATTGATTTTTTTTTTATACAGGTAATCCTTGTATATAATAGGTTTCTAGAAAATG